ACGTAAAAAACTTTCCGTAAATATCTTCAACAAAGTATACAAGTGAACAACTTTTACATACCGCAAAATGTTACGAAAAACATACAAAAACACTGTTAAATGTAAGAATTAAAATCGCAGATTATTAGCAGATAAAATTTATAACATTAAGTACTGAAAATTTAAGTACTCCGTATTTATCTATTTATTTACTCGCCCGAGCTCGTCTATTCATGCCCAATTTACCTGTTAATAAGGTGCGAGGCTACTATGAAATAAAATGTCCCCACTCATTTAAATGCAGGGGTAGTTTTGAATAAATTCAACCGTTTTATAATGATATTTTAATATAAAAGCAGCCCTGAAATTCGTGTCACGTAATGCTATGCTATAATATATATGGGGTATAGAAAGGAGGTTCTTTTCCACAAAAGGTTTTGATATTAAATATTCATTCAAACAATAGCAACACTGTCTTATTGCTCTGTGTTCCTGTTCCGTCCTCGTGTAAAACTGATACAAATCGTTGTTGGCTAATTGGAGGTCGTGTTGTCAGTAAGTGATCGACAGTCCGACCTCGGTCAGATCCTAGACTACATCCGACAATTTACAACGCCCCTTAGTATCCGATACTTTAATCATACTGAAACGTCCTCTGCAGTGGATATCGCACAAATGTCATTAGCAAGTTGCATCGCCCGTATAATTCTTAGGCTGCATGTACACAAGATTGCTTCACGTAAATCGCTTAAAGACTAAAATTGCAGATTTTCGCAGCCTTGTGTACGAACTGCTTAACGAAACGAATACTAAATCACTCCATACCAGTGTATGGAAAAATGCTTATGACGGTTTAGATTAGTAATGCTGCCTACTTATAAAACTACTTATCATATTAGTTCATGGATATGTGTTGAAGATGTCTATCATTTTACTTATTTCAAACATCCCTCTATGATTTGCGATAGCAAATTTAATGTATAAGTGACGTATTTTGTTTTAAATCTGATGTTAAAAACTTAACTGTTTTAAATATATAAAGGTGAAATACTAAAAAAATCAAAGCGTAGGAAGTTGTGTAGAAGTTGGTAGAGATCAAAGGTCGGAAGCCGCGGTACGCTGACGTCGCCGGCGCTACAGCAACTTTAACGTCGCCTTGAGACGGTTTTCCAATTTCACTCGCTTCCGCTCCGATACACTAACACCTAATTTTCTCGTTACAAAACGTGTAAGGTCTCTGGAGTCGCCACACGTCCTACATCTGATAGCTGAAAAGTTATGTGTATGACTTCTATGTTACTGTAGTTAAAAGTTTCATTTCTAACATAAAAATAATCTATCTTTAAAGTCTTAAAATGTTTATTATATAGTTTTAGATATAATGTGACACATAAGTTATCTAAAAAAGCTCATACAATTCACGATTCACGACGCAGATACAAAATAAATTTGAACATAAAACCATTTCCAGTTTTCTCTTTCGTTAGCACACGTGTGTGACTTGATTGTGCGGCAGTGAACGTTTAGCCTAAATTGGCAACCGGCATGGACCGGCTTTCGGCAGCGCCAGTAGTGACCGTTTGGTCGTAACAAGTCCTTCACACAGCACCATTGCTATCTCGAAAACTGATACTATCTCGTTAAAAGACTACCTTACTATAGTTTAACTGTTAACACTAATCTGTAGAAAAACATTGTTATCCTCAAGCAAGATCTTTGTAAAAGCAAACTTAGGTGTTTTTTGTACATCCTATGGCAGTGGAAACGTGCCGTTTATAATCAACAAAAACAACACAATACCTATTTTTTTGTAGCAAACGAGTATGCAAGTTGATAATGACATTGCGATTTCTTCTCGTGTTCTTGATTGAAATGAATTCTCAGAAGTTTGCCCGAGCGTGTCTATGGTGGGAAGCAATTCATATAACTCTTCGGTTGCAGATAGGTCCGCACAATTCGTCACTATTTCCCCGAAGGCGCAAGTGGTCTGATAAGAGAAAAATGTCAGGAGTCGTCACATTTGAGTGCGCTATATGTTTGAGATTTTTTCGCTATAAAAACTGTATATTCTCATTATTAAAACAACGAGTAACGCAGAGATTGCTACATTTAGAATGTGCGCTAACCCAAACTAAACTATCGCACAACTGTTTAGTCGCGCTTTGATTTCTATGAGCTTATAGGGAGGTTTTCGCACTACTCGATTTTTAGTTGTGCAACTAAACAATTGAATTGGCTGCGAAGTGATCGACAATCGCACTACAGTTGTGTGATAATTTAGTTAACGGTGTATGCGCTTTAAGTTTATACCGCACATATTCGCTTTTTCAACGTTACGTCATAAACTTTCCGCAAAATAATAGGCTTAAATCTATTACTGGAAATCTTTAGACGGCTGCAATCAGGAAGACGTTTCTAAACTGTGTTATAAAACGGAGACATTGATAAGGTAGATGGAGGTCATCTTTTAGAGATTGATAAACACAATTTATGATAGTGTTATAAAAAAGTTTAAACAGGTTTTATAATTGCAACGATTACACCACAAGTTGGTCGAGTTAACAAGATATGAATTGAAGTAAACTAATAAATAATTCTAGCAAGTTCTAGAGGATAATACGATTGGTATTTGATATCTTACATGCTCGATGGTAAACCAGGATTTCTCACTCATATCCCGATTAAAACGTTCTACATTAATAATCGAAACGATACATTTAAAATATTAGTATGTTAATTATTTTTTGTTACGCTCTAATGACTTAATGACTTGGCAAATTATTGTGAAATTTTCCACATACTTAAACATAAATAATCTTGTAAATAGGAAAACTTTGTTTGTTTGATTGTAACGAAGTAATCCAAAAACTACTTGGCCGATTTTAAATATACTATCACCATTAAAAAGCTACATTATCAGTGAGTAACATAGGCTAAGTTTTATACTATTTTTTTAATTTCACGCGGACGGAGTCGCGGGCGAAAGCTATAGTTGATAAAGTGATAATATACACTATTTCAAATTCAACGTTCCAATATTTTGATGTATGTTCATATGAAAAACAGTTATTGTATTTCTTCTTTAAATTAAAATTTGTGAGTTCACAAAGATGTTTGTTGAGTAAAATACAAGTAAGATACGAATGCCTATAAAGTTATATGTCTGATGCATTTTGGGATGTTCGCAAGTCATACCCGTTTGTCTGGCGAAGGCCGGTCGGATTTGGAATAAGCAGTTAAGATTTAACGAGGCAATGGCAACTGGTTTATAACGTCTGCATCACCACTGACAGGAAATTAATGCAGCTCTAAATGTTATTGCCTTAAGATTTACGTAACATGTTTAATAGTTAAATATAACGTATTCGTTCAATTAAAACGATAAATCTAAATAAGGGTTTGATAAATGAAGACGCTATGATTTATATCTTACTGGCTTTCCCCCGCGACTCCGTCCGCGTGAAATTATAAAATAATGTAACACATAGCCTACATTACTCGCTGACAACGTAGCTTTTTAATGACGAAGTTTTTTTTGAAATCGGCCCAGTAGTTTTTGAGTTATTTCATTACAATCAAAGTTTTCTTCTTTATAATATTAGTATAGATTAAATTCTTCAAACTCCTTATTTTGATTATTCTTTTCTAAAATGAAATTGAGCAAGGTTCTAAAATCATATTACAAAGAAGAAACTAGGTAAGACGTGAGTGTGACGTTTCAAGTATGAAACAGATCGCTAATCGTTAAACGTAGAATATGTAAAATTGCTTTTGAAATTACTTATGTCTGTACTAAATTAGCTTGTTGAAGGGAATTATTTCATAGCACTCTAGACTCCCGTTCCTGGAAGCGTGCACTTAATATTAACGGAGATATTAAAAATTCTATTTTATATTCAAGGAGTTTGTTGTTATTGCTACGTACAAGCTTATAATGTTTGAGCACTCTCTTGTAAACTCAAGAGCAATTGTCTTATTTTCTTAAAATAAACAAAAATCAGCTTATAACGTTGTATTTTCTGATACATATTTTCATCCCCCTCATTCTCTTTGTAAAATAGAGATAGCGATATGCTGTTATATTGGTGTTTCATCAGTTGAAAGACTTAGTTTGCGATTATCCGCCTATAAACATTATTAAAGTTGGTATTAACTTTTGAGTGGAGTTCAGATCAAACAAGCGGTTCCTATCTTCGGTGACGTCATTTAAACGTAGACTACCGTCTATCGATTAGTCTGAAGACCTTAAGTTTTTCTTATCGTGTAACTTCTTTAACGTTTAATTACAGTTTGATATTTATCTAAAAGTTTTACCATCCTGCAAGTCTTTGAGTGTAACTTATGTTTAATTTAAGTTTTAAACTAAGCTCCACTGGACATTAGCTAGTATTTGTACCGTTCATTTTTATACAAACTAGTATGTAAAGAGATAATTTTCTAATTTTTAATTAGTTTTTGAATATCCAGTAGTTATACAAAACACGCATTCTGTAAAAAACTTTTGTAACGAAGGAGAGGAGCTTCGATAACGTAATCTCGGGGTTCATTAAGAATACCTTCAAGTTGGCTTATTTTACTTACCAGCGTGATATAGAAAATCTGCATCGGCTTAAGAGTACAACGGCCACCGTGGACGAGCAGCAAGAAGCCAACAAGGGCAATAATCAGCTCGTTGAACATCCAACACTCCGGAGCTCTGCCTAATGCGATTATATACATCTGTTGTTGCTAACTTAGAAAGGATTTAAATCCTTTATTAAGCAAATACGGATTTTCTATAATAATTAAATATTTAACTGATATGATTACGATAACTGATGAATTTCTTGTTTTTATTTTTATTATAACGCAACTTTTGTTTACTTTTCTATAAGTTAGAAATACGAAAGCGTCAGGCAAAAGCTTACTTTACAAATGTTAGGTAATTCTGTAAAGTTAACGGTTTATTAGTTAATAAGTTTAATAAATCAGTGTTGTTGAAAATGCAATAAATTACAATTGAATTGTAATTTTACAGGATACAATTACGATGGTGTTATGACCAAGCGAAGAGGGGGACGTTCGCTTGATGGTAAGTGATTTACTTACCTTCCCTTGACACTCTGGTGTCATTAAACATATCAAATTACAAAATGTTGACCAGCTTTGCACAGTTGCTTATCTATTTACGATTACTATTTGAAAGTAAACCTACTGCTGAATTATTCCGAAATCGAATATCTTTGATATACTAACGTATTTAATTAATATATATGTATAACAGTCATTCTTTCATATTTCTCAGACATTTTTGTAATTTGATGTCGCGTATATTTTTAATTTGGATTTTTGATATTAGTATGTTTTCTATCTGTCGATTAGTTTTTTCTAAATAACCTTATAACCTTTTATTATTGATAATTTATATGATAAATAAACCCTTATTAAGAAATATATTTTGTTAAACCGTTTGCCACAAGGTAGGAGTCTATTATATTAATAAGCATTATGTAGAGTCGTAGATAGGTCGGATAATAAAGCAGAGATTGACTATAGTTAATTGCTTTCTAAGTCGTTAAAGACAATCTGCGTTAGTCGGGAGTGGAGTGTTGATGTCTACCTACAACTGCAGTATGCAGCGGTGTCCGGACCGTCCGTCGCCGGAGCGCTAACTCAATTACCCGAGCACGGAGCGGCTGCGACCTCTTCACAATACTTGCACAACTTTAATCCTACTTGAATTTTACTAAAGCGAAGACAACTTTTAACTACATTTAAATTAATAGATCTCTCAATTAATTTTATATTTAAATTAACATATTAGAGCTGATTCTTACATTACCTAATTTCGGGTTGTTAGATTTTGAGTTATTTCAATACATACAAATTTCAGATCTTTCCTCTTTACAATGGTAATATAGAATATTATGAAGCATACAATATCTTTATCTGTGCTTACCCAAATAAACAGTTGGTACTTGGAACTGTTGAGGCAGCCGGTGTTACGTGTTACTATCACTCAGAAATAATAGACTCATATTCGATTTAAATAATACAATGTTTCGTCTATGCGTATGAATACATCCGTTGTGAACGTACACAAGTGAGCAATAAAGAAAGTAAATAAGTTAAAGTAAACATTTGTATCAATGTTCTAGTAATGTAAATATTAATAAATATTGATATCTCCTTAATATTGTAACATTATATATTATTTATATGTACACAATATTGTGACTGTGTCAGTAGTTGAAAGAAATCTTAGATGTTTTCATACAAATTAGTGCCTTGAATGTTATAGCATAACTAAGTTGCAATAGTTTGCAGTGTTTTCTAAGTTAGCAATCTAGGTCTGAAGATGCGTATTTGCAGTTTTATTTAATAACTAGCTTTTGCCCGCGACTCCGTCCGCGTCAAATTTAAAAATAATATAAAAGAAGTGAAAAGATGTAGCCTATGTTACTCACAGATGAATTACCTTTCTAACTTTTTTAAAATCGGCCCAGTATTTTTTGTGTCTATTCATTACAATCAAACAAACAAAGTTTTCCTCTTTATGTTAGATATAGGTATGTAAAAATACCATACCGTTTTACGTCGAAGCGAACTAAAAAAAATAATTATGACCTGTTTTTGTTTACAATCTATAGTTGGTCCTATTTCAAATAACTGGTCAATATCTTTCAATGGAAATAGTTATTTCAAGCTTTAAAAATTTGGGCCAAAAAATTTAATTTGAAAATAGTAATCTATTCTCTGTCGTTCACCATTCAGGCTTCCGAAAAATGTTGAAGTCCGACATTGATCGGATAGCCGGGCCGAACTTTCGATGGATTTATTTCGTGTCACTTTGACGCTTTGTGTTAAAATGTCCCTTTGGTTTGGACTGTGCCTTGATCAATCAGATGTATTAAGTTTAATAAATTTGCACATGCCTGTAGAATAATTCGCTATTCAGAATCCACATATAATAGTTTGAACGTTTCTACTAATTTTCAGCTACATGCGAATCTCTGCGGGAGTTAGTTACGTTACAGATTTACATTATACATTAATCTAGTAAAGTGCTTAAAACGCGTATTTTCTATGAGTGCAACTTTTTCATAACTAGAGGAGAATACGAATTGAATGCCACAAATTGCTATATCAATCAACGTGTGTAGAGCCGCCAAACACGGACCGTTTGAAAGTTCGTTTCATTCATTATTCCGTCTATGGCAACCTTTAAATGACAATATCGAAATAGTAACCGATTTAAACTATCGGCATTGACTATTTGAAGCAGTTTATAGCGGCCTTAGGTTACAGAAATTCATATGTGAACGGGCAAACATGTTCGCAATAAAATTTCCCGTCATTCGGAAAAAAAATGAAAACATTGAACATTGAACATTCGTAACGATTTTTATCGGGTTTTTTCGATTACTTCAAAACGCAAACAGAGTACTGTAATTGGTTTAAGAAAAAGTTTTGTTTGTAAAAACTAAAATTTAACATTTTCATGGTATCACTTTTTTCCTACAAGTTTTTTCAAAACTGCATCCATGCTTATACTTAGAAGAAACCAGAAAAAAACTTTCGCCTTTCTTTTGTTTTTCATGCAAAAAGAACGATTTTAAATAGTTGAGGGCAACAATCTCGTGTAATTTTTATTCAAAACATATGACAATCAAAATCTCCAAAGAAGTCGAAAAAGATAAATTATTAATTCTTTTCATTAAACCTTTGTGCTTAAACGATAGCTGTTGAGGTCCTCTACTCCACAAGGCCACAGATCCGTCCGTTAAGAATCACCCTGTATATAAGAACTTTTCCTATCACAGAATGAATTGCTAAACTTTAATCTCTGTTATTAATTTCAAGCAACGTTTTATTTCACAAAGCAATTCAAACTCGACATCGCACGAGGCAGTTATTAAAAGAGTTCTCGAACTTTCTTTTGCATGTCGAATATCGTCGAAGCTACGCGAACATATTTATAAACTTTACTGTTTACAAATATTCTTTACAATATAAATCAGCGTTGTTTGTACTTTTTATGTTCCTAAATGAGTGGACTTTGATGACAGATAAAATGTTTAGATAGTATAATTTTGAAAAACGTTTAATAAAACTGCAAAAATGTGTGGCAGTATCGATAAGGGATGTACCTCACATCAGTTAAATTACCTAGACATCTTTAACAAAAGCGATATACAGTGCAAGTAACATCCTTTGAAAGTTTTATTACCTTCGTGTCCGTTTTAACGAATACGATTGACAAACAGTTGTGTTATTCCATAGTATATTATGTCGTCTAACCACATTAGTCACACAGTGTATTCGACATGCACAATATTTTACGCTGAAAGTTTTTGGCTTGACATATGACGTCATTCGCTGCCCCTCGCTGTCGACATCGTCTGGTATATTAAGTTATATGTTCAAACTGAATGTTTGAAAGTAAATAACTTAGTTGGCAAATATCAAGATTCGAGTATTATTACTAAACATCCCGTTGTTCCGTGTATTTTATTAAGTATCTTAAATGATTTTAAATGTGCCTCTAGTGTATCATGCAATCGGAATTTAATAAACAATAGTTTTCTGATTTGTCCATGGTCATACCTTAGATATCATTGAGTTTAATTCTCTGGGGAATATACAAAAATAACAAACGGTTAACGAGCTAACAAAAGTTTTAAATCAGTCGCCATGGACCTGGTCATGTCGTCTATTAATAATTGCTTGTAGCAGTGGAGTGACAAGTTGTCAGTACGCGCACGCTTTGAGCGAACTCATGCTGTGGCGACATTCACCTAAAGAGTAACCAAACGATTACCAATTTTATGGGAAACTAGATATCGGCCGCAACTTGGTTAGCGCGATTTAAAAAAAATAGTATCCAATGTGTACTTCCAGACTATGTTTTACACCTATGCTGATTATCGAAATCACTTAAACAGATTAGACTTTAACTCTAAAAAACATCCATCTATCTAAACTGTCGCGTTGCAATCGACGATAATCAATAGTCCATTATTTTGCGTAGCTAACTACAATTAGATGAAAGTGACATCAGTTATTCATATAAACGGGCTTAATGTAATAAAATCCTTGATAATGTCCGAATTTGTATTTGTCCTGAAAAAAGTTGACCAAGTATGGTGTGCCTACACGTTAGAATTGGTTTTGGCATAGTTGCCATGTGGAAGACATCGCATCTGACGCCACTATTTTTAGTAACGACACAATATATTTTAAGGTTGTCGATGATTTACTGGTACTGATCTTGGTTTTTAGTTTATTCGCATACCGTATATTTCTTCAGAGTAATGAAAGAAGTTATAAACTAAAGAATTCAGTTTGATTTATAATTGGGACACTAATCTCGAAAGCGAAATGTTCCTTAGAAAATGTCTGAAAAATGCAAATCTGTGCAAGCTTGCGAAGTAACTGCTTTAGAATTATACGCCGCTTCGTACGTTGTAAATATAAAGAGATTTTTTCTTTGCAAAAATCTGAAAAGGGTAGACTTCATAAATATGTAAACCTATATTCTAAACAAAGCATGCGAAATAAACTCATCTTTTTTAATCCTGCTTTATCCACTTTATTTAAACTATGTCATGATTGCCATTAAAAGTAAATACTTCGAATTAATTTTACTATCATCAATATTAATTATAATTTGCATGACAAATGTAGTAACACGACAGCGTAAAAAGTAAGTAACACATTTAGAATCGTAGAACATAATAACCACAAAAGTTTCAGATTTCCAAATAACAATTGGAAACAGAATTCGTTATAATATAAACCAACTGAAGGCGTTGTAATTTTTTGTATATTTAGTAATACACATGCGTGTATGTATAATTCATAAGGAAGATTTGTATACGGCAACGCATTCGTATCGACCGTAGTCGTACACGCGAACTCTACACAAACTTTGGCAGGCGTTATCTTTTTTAGATTAAGAGTCGAAGCAATGTAGGAATTTAATAAATAATACAGATCTAACCAGCAATAATCTTAGAAGTTATACGAAACTTACAGTGTATTATACATAGGATTCGGAAGGTAGTAGGATATTTGATTTTGTGAGAGCTA